GGTATTGTAAGTGTTTACATTATTTACATTGCTCGGACTGTTTTTCTCAACTTTATTCCCATATTCTCGACATTTCGGTCATTGTACACCCCGGACTCCTTCAGGATCTGTCTATATTTCCGTGATAAGTATTGTAACTGTTTACATTATTTACATATTTCGGTCTATTGTCCACATCTTTATTGTCATATTCATGACGTTTCTGTCGTTATACACCCAAGCCTTCTTCAGGATTTGTCTATATTTCTGAGATGAGGTATTTTAACGGTTTACATTGTTTACATAGTTCGAACTGTTGTCCACATATTTATTGCCATATTCACGACGTTTCGGTTGTTGTACACCCTGACCTTCTTCAGGATCTGTCTATGTTTCCGAGATGAGGTATTGTAACTGTTTACATTATTTACATCTTTCGGACTGTTGTTCTCATCTTTATTGTCATATTCACAACGTACAACGGAGTGTACAACCGCTGAAACGTTGTGAATGTTACAATAAAGAAGGGGACAATAGTTCGAACTATATACATAATGGAAATACTAATCTGGTGTTTGCAAACTTGACTACAAATCTCGAAAATAATACGTAATTTAAACAGGGAAGACAGACATTCTAACTCGATTTATAGACAACACGAAATAAGCAGAAAATAGTTATATTTAAGAACCACTGAACATTTTAGAAACTGCTATGTTCAGTTCAATGGCCGATCTGCAACAACGCTAAACGTTGGAAAATAATTTTTACACAAGAAAAATACGTGAATCATTAGAGATTCAATATATGCGTCGCAGACCGTTGGTTCCGGAAGATGTAAATAGGGATTCGGGGGATTTTGTAAAGAGTAATTCGTGGAGAAGTTTCTCTGATGCATAGAAAAAGAAAATCGTAGAAAAGAAAGATGGAGGGCAGCATTGGAAAATGGAGAATGCGAAGAACCAGAAAATCTTTGAAATGCAAAGAAACGTTTAGGAAATACGACAAGAGAACATAAAAAAATCCATTTTGATGAAATTTCAAGTTAAAGAAGGAGCGAAATATTAAAAAAAATATTGAAATGATGTCGAATTGAATTAGTTTTATTTCGAGTGACGCGATTTGATAGTAAATAAATAGAAGAAAAGAAGAAAGGAAGAAGGTGAAAGAAAAGAAAGAAAGAAAGAAGGAAATAAAGAACGAAAGAAAGAAAGAAAAGGAGGATGAGTAAAAGAAAGAAGGAAATGAAAACAAAAACAAAAGAAAGAAAGAAAGAAAGAAAGAAAGAAAGAAAGAAAGAAAGAAAGAAAGAAGAAGAACGAAGACAAGAGAAAGAAAGCGAAGCAATAACGATAGCGAGGAGATGAGAAAGAAAGAACGAAAGAGGGGACGAGAAAAAGAAAGAAAGAAAAAAAGAAAGAAAAAAGAAAGAAAAATAAATAAATAAAGAAAGAAAGAAAGAAAGAAAAGAAAGAAAACAAAGACAAGTGGAAGAGAAAAAATAAAGGTAGAGGGAAGATGGGAAAGAAAGAAAGAAATAAAGAACGAAAGAAAGAAAGAGCGAAAGAAAGAAAGAAAGAACGAAAGAACGAAGCAAAGAAAGAGGGGACGAGAAAAAAGAAAGGAGATAAAACGAAAATGAGAAAGAAAGAAAGAGAGAAGGAAAGAAAGAAAGAAAGAAAAAAGAAAAAGAGAAAGAAAGAGAAAGAAAGAATAGAAAACGAAGACAATCGAAAGAAAGAAAAGAAATAAAGACAGAGGGAAGATGTGAAAGAAAGAAACAATTAAACAAAGAAAGAGAAAAAAGCGAGAAAAGAAAAGAAATAAACAAAAAAAAATAGAACAAAGGAAGAATTAAAGAAATGGGAAGAAAAAAATAAATGAAAAAAATAAGGAGAAGAGAAAGAAAGAGTATAAGTAAAGAAAAGGAAACAAAAAAAAATGGGAAGACGGGAAGAAAGAAAGAAATATGAGAAACTAAAGACAAGAAAAAGAAAGATTAGAAATATATATAGAGGGGGGGCGAGAAAAAAGAAAGAAAGAAGAATAGAAAAGCAATGAATAAAAAGAGAAAGCAAATAAGACTGAAAGAAGTGAAAAAAGGGAAAATAAATAGAGAAAGTGAAAGAATAAAGAAAGAGAAGGTAAAGAAAAACATACAAAAAGAACAGAAAAGAAAAGAAAGAAGAAATAAAAAGAAGGGGGACAAATAAATAAAAGGAAAATAAAGACAAAAGCGGAAATAAATAAGAGAAAATGAATGAATAAAGAAAGAAAGAAAGAAAGAAAGAAGGAAAGAAAGAAAGAAAGAAGCATGAAACATTATGTTCCATGACGTTAGTAAATGAAAGCATACAAAAGTCTATAAATAAGTTTGTTATTGTTTTTGATGCACAATGATTCCAACAGTTCAGTATTTTGTTTATTATTTAACTTGTTTCTTCTTTTGAAAGCTGCTCCTCCATTGTTCGTTATTTCAAATCGCGTCTCGCAATAATATCTTGGGATTTGTTGGTGTGTGATTTTTTTTTGTTTCTTTAATTTCCCTTTTTGGATTTTATTCATTTTTTATTCATCCTTTCGTCTTGTCTTTTAGACCTATTCTTGGCTTTGATCCGTTCAATTTGGAAGACTACTGTAGCGTGATGGCTAGACTACTCGTCTCCCAATCTATTTCTCTGGTGTCGTGAATTCGATTCTCATTGGTTGTTTCCTTATAATGGCCTTGTGCCCGACGGATTTATGTTTACTACGAAATTAGAACCTCAGTCCCATAACAGAAGTTACATTTAAAGTATCAAATATGTATCAAAATATAACAATTTTATGTGACAGATGTAGTATCCCTCCCAATTTTCTAATGTCATTTCATTTTTTTAATTGAAGATATTTTTCGCCTCCTTTTTGGTTCCATTTTTTTTTAAATTCACAGATGAGGTGAAAGAGATTTTTATTCAACTGTGAGAACGTTTGTCAGCCTACAAAGCAGCGTTTGAAATTCGGAATTATTACTGTCATTGAACACTGATCTCTGGTAGCAGTAGAAACTTTTTTTTTCATATTAATGTTTATCCAATGCAAGGCCCAAGAGCCGCTGAAGCGTTACTGTTTGCTGTTGTATGAGATAGGATTTTACAAGGGCTGTGGCTTTGTTAAGACCAGAATAAAAGACACAAAGGGAAGAATTGAGTTAAACAAATATATTAACAGAAAAAATAATACAAACATATACAAACGAGAGTGTTACACCAAGACTGTTCAGTCCGACTGCTGGAAACTTACCTCTCCAAAAGGCAGTACCTGCTCCTATTTATAGCTGGGAGAGTCCATGCGTGCGTGGGTAAATTACCATAACAGCGGGAAAGAAAACGGTTAAACCTAGACATGAAGATGTTAAGATTGTAGTGATTGGGAAAACACCCCGCCGGGATTCTGTTCCACAAAGCAGCAGTTTTTGTGAAAGAGCTGTCTGAATGAAACTAACTTCTTACAATTTTAAGTATAAATGTCCTTTTTGTTTTGATTTTCTCTAAAACTTTGTTGTTGCTCACTTAACGTCAATGGTATTTCAGTATCCTTCTGTGGGCATTTCAAGTGTCTGTTTTCTTTGGAAGTGACTTGGTACCGCCCTGTTCTGTTATAAATTCAGATTTCTCTGGAAAAATTCTTCTTCTTTGTTCTATGTCCCTTGAGGACGTTGGCGGGTAATGGCTCTCAACAATTTCCTATCCTTTGTACTTCTTAGCAACTTTTGTTTTTTGCCTTCTCTCCTAAGCCGTACTCCGTAAACCGTTCACTCAAGCTCGCCAGGTAGGTTGTGCGTTGATATTCTCTGTCTCTCTTAGCTTCAATCTGTCTTGTGAGTATTAAATTTTCCAAGCCCCCTTACCTCATTAAGTAGCCTATAAAAATCCATATAAAAATCCGACAAAACATCCCACCTTTCGAATGTAAGCAGGCGGCAGATTGTGCGGTGTACTAAGACCGACTGGTGATTCGGATCACGTTTGACATTTTTCTTCTTTTATGAGTCGTGTCCCTTCAGAACGTGGATGACCATGGCTCTCCACAACTTCTTATGCTTTGCATCTCTAAGCAATATTTGTCTTCTTATTGTTCCTCCCAGTTTCTATTCTGTCACCCATGTATACAAACTCGTTAGGTAGGCTAAACGATATTCCTCTCCTCCTCGCTTGCCTCAATATTCCCTGAGAGTATCAAATTCCCCAAACCTTCTTTCCTCATTATGTGTCCAAGATACTTCAACTGTCATATGTCTTATTGAAAGTATAGTACTTCTTTCCGTTTCCATTTTCATACAAACATATTTGTTGCTCCCATTTTCTGTCCATGGAATTCTTAGCATCCTTCTGGAGAAACATTTATTTGATTATTTCTTAATACTCCCTTTATATTCTTGAAGGTACCCTTTGAATTTCATTACCACATTTTCCATCATCTCTTAAAACACTTCCCAGATAGTTAAACATTTGTACCTGTTTAATTCTGATGTTTAAATATGTAGCTCACACCATGTGATTTCTAGTTGACAATCATGAATTGTGTCTTCCTGCTATTTATAGTTAGTCCTTTCTTCGGGCTTTTTTCATGTCTTGTCTAGGTGTTCTTCCAGTTTACTTTCATTGTTGGACTTGTCAAAATTCGAAAATTGATGACCTTCTCAAGTGAAATCATCAGACTCATATCTTCATAAATATTCTTACAGTTCTAGTTCTTTAATAATCTTCGAGGATAGCAACCTTATCATTGTTCAACAATGGAATTGACAGAAAAAGGAATCTCCCAGAAAAAAGGAATTTCCAGAAAAAAGGAATCTTTCAGAAAAAAAATAATTTCCAGAAAAAAGGAATCTCCCAGAAAAAAGGAATTTCCAGAAAAAAGGAATCTTTCAGAAAAAAGGAATTTCCAGAAAAAGGAATCTCCCAGAAAAAAGGAATATCCAGAAAAAAGGAATCTCCCAGAAAAAAGGAATTTCCAGAAAAAAGGAATCTTTCAGAAAAAAGGAATTTCCAGAAAAAAATCTCCCAGAAAAAAGGAATATCCAGAAAAAAGGAATCTCCCAGAAAAAAAAGGAATTTCCAGAACAAAGGAATCTTTCAGAAAAAAAGAAACTCGCAGAAAGAAATAAGTTTTCCATGAAAATGACTCTTTTAGAAGAACGAGTCATCTAAAAAAAGAATCTACCAGGATAACGAATCTTCTAGAAAAAGAAATCTCCCAGAAAAACCAATCGTCTAGAAAAAAAAAACAATCTCCCAGAAAAACGAATCTCCCTTAAAAAAACGAGAAATGTATCTTCCAGAAAAAATTTACCAGAAAAACGAATCTCGTAACAAACAAAATTGTTTTTTTTCCAGAAAAATCAATTTTCCAGAATACGAATTACTCAGAAAAACGAATATCATAGGAAAATGAATCTTCCATAAAATTAATCTAAAAATACACCCCAAAAAATAATCTTCCAGAAAAACGACTCTCACAAAAAAGAGAAACGAATCTCCTAGAAAAAAAAGTAACGAGTCTTGCAGAAAAAGATTTTCTCTAGAAAAATGATTCTTCTAGAACACTAATTTCTCAGAAAAAAAACAAATCTCATAGAAAATCTAATCTTCCAGACAACGAATCCTAAAAAAAGAATTTCCCAGAAAAAACGAATCATTCAGAAAAACGAACTTCTCAGAAAAATGGATCTTGTGAACCCCCCCAAAAAAAAACCCTGAATTTTCCAAAAAACAAAGAAAAACTCTCCTCATCTTCCAGAAAAACGAATCCCCCCAAAACAAATATAATTGCCTCCGTTACCTATGTGTGTGTGTGTGTGTTTGTTTTTAAAAATATTTTTGCTTTTGTAATCTATCAGTTTTTTTCGTTATCCACATAGATAATTCTTTTTCCGACCTTTCTTTTGCTGAGTACGGAATTATTCGTTTATCCAAAAACAATCGAAAAAAGTAAGAAATGTCCATTATCCTTTGATATATGAATCTAATATCATTTAACGTATCAAAGACGCCCCTTGGGATCTTGATTTCGATCAATTCGCACCACTCGAAACGAAATTCTCGTCTATTTTCAGTTCGAAATGTATATTAAATCATCTATTTCTTCTTTTCTTTACTAGCAATACCCTAAACGATTTATGAAGTCAGGGGTAATTTGAACTACTACCTGTGACCATTTCTTTTATTACTGTTTCAAAGGAGATTAGTGATTTACTATTTCCTCTCTCTGTTTAGCCGTCTTCGTATCTACCGGGATAATCAGCATGGCATGGCCTCTGCGCTGACCTCTAGACGAGTAGTTTATGTGTTGGACGAGTAGACCATTACAATTGAGTAGCGAGTTCGATCATCATTCTTCGCCTCACATAGGCGGGGGGTTCGAGCCTGACCAAGCTAAGATTTTCAAGATCCGAGATGAAACCTTTTTGATGGCAGACGGATGGTAGGAAAACTGTAGGAACGGTTAGACAAGGTACTAAAGGAGAACGAAAAGAAGGAACTAACTATTGAGTATAAAACGATATATGACCCCAAAGTGCGAACTGCAAATCGGAGGTACCAAAATCAAACAAGTGTTGAAATTTAAATAACTGGGAAGTATTTTGTTGTAACCCACAAGAGGGTACTGAATGAGGAATAACCAAAACGGAGGTTGGAAATGAAATGCTAATCTTTATAACACCAACAAAATACAATACTCGCCAGCGGCGTGAAGTAGGTAAACCACTGCTAGTGGTGGACTACTTATACAGCATATTACGATATTTAACTATCTCCCTACGCGGTAGGATGAAGCGCAAGGTCATATTTAATGTGGGGAAATCAGAGCCCGTGGGCTCGGGTAAAAATTGCCCGTAGACCCCGTATACGCGGGATCGGGTATCTGTCTACCTCCCCGGACGAGACTCTGCCCTACGGCATAGCCTCGTCCGGGTTCCTCTCTGCCTTCAGGCAGAGAGTTCGACACGGCAAGAGCTTCCCACGCTGACAGATGCTGCCAGCTTAGGCAGTATATTTTCCCCACTTAAAATAGTGTCCAACGTATTTATGAGGATTGGAACATAGATGCGGTATATAAAATATTTTAACAGAGGAGGGAAAAACGACGCTGAGAACCGAAGGTGTATTAGGGTAAACAAAGAAAGCATTTCAAAAGCTAAGCAGAATACTAAGAAATACGAAAAAATTCGCTATAAACAAGGAAAACAGTACTAAACTACGATATCTGTCCTCCTGTATAGCAATGAGGAGGCCTGAAGCAACAGAAATGTGGTTCTACAGAAGGATGCTAAGGATACCGTGGACCGAACATGATGACGTTTTGGAGAAAATGGAAACAAAAAGGAAACTAATATTTAACACCAGTAAGAGACGATTGAGATTTCTAGGGCATATAATGAGGAAAGTGGGCTCGGAAAATATGATACTCACGGGACAGACATAGGGCAAGAGTGACAGAGGAAGACAACGCATAATGAGCTTGAATAAATGGATGGCGGAATAGGGCTTAGGAAAACTAACAGAAAGATAAAGTTTACAAGGGGTAGGAAGTTGTAGAGCGCCATGATCGCCCACGTCCTGAAGGGACACGGCACAAATAAGAGAAAAAGTGTTCCTCATCAAGAGAGACAGTCCGACGGGTAAAGTACTTAATGGCGACGTTATAACCAAGCGGCTATCTGGATAGTGTCGCGACGTATGACTGAAAATCTAACACAGAAACCTCAGGTTGCTTTGGAGTAGAGAATAATGCCTTTCTAGAAGCTAAGTAAGGTATGAAAACATAGGGAAATATAGTTAGAAAGAAAGAAGAGTGCTGAACTTCTATGCCATGTCTATTCTTCTATATGTTAGGGCTGTAGTATCTGTTAACATTTCCTTTAACTCCACACCCTGCAAAGAACCTCCTATCACTAGAACCTCGTTCTACTATCAACGAGCGGATTGGGTCTCGTTCCGTGACTTCTTCCGCGATGTCCCCTGGGATGTTGTCTTTACACTCCCTGTCCAAGAATATGCTACTGAGGTCTCATCCTGGGTTAAAGCTGGAATCGACGCTTTCATCCCCTTAAGGAAATTTAAGGTCAAGTTGCACTCCTCCCCTTGGTTCTCTGCTGCTTGCTCAGCCGCCATTGCCCATAGGAACCACTTCTTTCACCTATTTCGTAGCGACATGTCGGACTGCAATAGATGGCTCTTTGTATCCGCCCGTAACGAGTGTAAGCGTGTCCTCAACGAAGCTAAGTCAATATTTGCTGCTCGAATGAAGGAGCGTATTGCATCTCGCAAATTTGGCTCCAAAGATTATTGGCGGCTCTGCAAGAGTGTCCTGAACAATAGAAAACCCTCCATACCTCTTTTATTCAACCAGTTCGAGGTCCTGACCTCCTCTACCGACAAGGCTGAATGCTTTGCTCGGAAATTCTCATTTAATTCAACGCTCGGCTCCTCCGGTGTACCCATACCAGACTTCCCTCTAAGAACTGAGGCCCTATTGAGCGGCTTACACATAACTCCGTCATTGGTATTGGGCATTATCTCCAATTTAGACCCCCACAAGGCTAGTGGTGGAGATGGCATACCAGCAATTGTCTTGAAGAAATGCGCGCCTGAGCTAGCGCCCGCCCTCTCTAAACTATATAATTACTGCCTCAAGAAATCCTGTTGCTGGAGGTCCTCATCCATTGTTCCTGCCTTTAAGAACTTTGGAGACCCCTCTGACCCCTCTAATTACCGTCCTATTAGTCTCCTACCCTTCTTCGACAACGTCGTCGAAGCCCTAATCAACGCCGAAGTGGTTAACCACCTTACCTCACACGACCTGCTCTCAGACAATCAATATGGTTTCCGCTACGCCCGATCTACAGCTAATGTGCTTACGGCCATCACTGAAACCGTCTACCAAGCCCTTCAAAATAACGGTGAGGCTCGTGCCGTAGCCCTAGACATCTCCAAAGCGTTTGATAGGGTTTGGCATGCCGGCCTTCTTCGCAAGCTCCAGGGTTATGGTATTACAGGTCGATTGTTTGACCTAATACAATAATTCCTGTCAAACCTGTTAATTCCTATCCCACGAACGCAGGTGTTCCCCAAGGCTCCATCCTTGGCCCCACTCTATTCCTTATTTTCATCAACGACCTTCTTGACGCCATAGATTCCAAAGTTGGCATCTACGCGGACGACACTACAATTTACTCCTGCCTCAAAAACAAATATAGTGTCGGTGACAAAACTAACCTGGTCGCTCGTCTTGAAATGGACCACCAATCGGTTGTTAATTGGGGCATGAATTGGCTGGTCAACTTTAACGCCTCAAAAACTAAACTACTCTCTATTAATCACCATAGAGATACTTCCCTGACCCCCACCCTTAGAATGTCTGATAGTCAACTTCTTGAGAGCAACTGCGTCTGTACGGTCTCACGTTGACAGCTGACCTGAGATGGAACAAATACATTGAGTCAATTGCTTTGTCCACCGCGAGGAAAGTTGGCTCTCTGTGCCGCGCCAGGAAATTTTTCTCCCCGGAATCGATACTTCAAATATACAAATCAACCATTCGCCCTTGCATGGAGTATTACTGCCATATATGGTCTGGTGCACCTTCTGTTTTCCTCGGAGTTCTTGACAAGATCCAGAGGCGGATATGTAATATAATTGGCCCTGATCTGGCAACTCGTCTACAGTCACTCTCTCACAGACGCGCCGTCGCCTCTCTCTGTCTTTTTTTTACAAATACTTTCATGGTAATTGCTCCGGTGAGCTGCTTTCACTGGTTCCCAGACTCCATGAATTCAAGCGCCCTACGAGGCTGGCATCCCGCGCTCACCCTTTCACCGTTGAAATTTTTAAATGTAGCCGTCTCTTCTACTCCAATAGCTTCATATCTCGCACCTCTCGCCTGTGGAACACCCTTCCCTATTACTGTTTCCCTGAGAGCTATAATCTCCAACTATTCAAATGTAATATCGATCGACATCTCCAGTTACCTTGATCTATCCACTATCCCTCGCCTTATCCTTTCTTCTATCACTCCTATCTGATCTTGCTCCAAATCTTCTGCAACCCTCTGCATCCTAGTGGCTTCACGCCTTGCTCGGGGCGTAATGCTTAAAAATAAAAAAAGACGACGAGACTCAAAGAGACAGAGGTGGTTCTACAGAAGGATGCTGAGAATGAACTGAATATGTGAGTAACTAACTAATTCTGCAAAAAATAGGAATGAATGGATGCTTTTCCTTAGAATTATAAACAGAAGGTTGAAATTAGTGGGATATATAATGAAGAAACAGGGATTGGGTAATTTAATATTCACAGTTTATAAGTGAATCAAGGAAAACAGTGACTAAGTTATTTAACGAATTTGTATGAAGAGATGGCAGAATAAAAACAAAGAAAGATGGTAAACAGTCAAAAGTTGCTTAGTGCTACAAGAGAAAGGAAGTCGTGAAGAACCATGATTGAGTAACCTACCTAATACGTGTGTGTATGGATAAGAGAGCAAATACAAAGAAAAATGCTAAAGTGTCAAACATTGCTTAAAGCTACACGGGAAAGGAAATCGTGGAGAACCATGAACGATTTACCTACCTAATGTGTTCGTGTGCATGGGTGACAGAGCGAGGATAAAGAGGAGTGGTAAAGATTCAAAGTTGCTTAGAGCTACAAGAGAAAGGAAGTCGTGGAGAACCATGATCAAGTAACCTACCTAATGAGTGTGTGTATGGTTAGCAGGTCGAGGACAAAATGAGAGATAGTAAACAGTCAAATGTTGCTTTGAGCTACAAGAGAAAGGAAGTCGTGGAGAACCATGATCAGTGACCTACCTAATGAGTTTGTGGGTATGGATGACAAAGCCAGGACCAAGATAGATGTTAAAGAGTCAAAAGAGTAAGCCACAGTAAGCTACAAGAGAGAGAGGATGTGGTGGAGTGCCATATTCGTCGATGTCCTAAAAGGGCATATAGAAATGGTACAAGAAGCATATTTGGGCGAATCCCCGTGTGGTAAATTGAATCCAGCAGACTATCACTATTGCTTAGGGATTTTATTCTCAATCAGTTACTAAGCTAAGATATTCGAATACTTAATTAGGTGGCCCAAACAAATCGTTATAATTGCGGAGTGAATTTTATTCCGTTGTTATATCGTGAGAAGACAACATTATTTAATTGGTAAAGGAGTCAGTCATTGAAAAAGTGATGTATGGCAAAGGGCGATAACTTTTGATCCGAGTTATGAGCCGAGTCATAAAAAAAAATCTGACGTGATGTTATTCTTTTCTCCTTGAAAGAACATGAGATGTTGTCACCCGAGAGGATGGGAAAAATGGAGCCAGATAGTTTTCCCCTGAAAGTATATATATATATATATATATATATATATATATATATATGAGAGACAGAAAAGTTGATAGATATGATTGTAAGATAGATATGAAGAGGCCAAGTATATATATATATATATATATATATATATATATATATATATATATATATATATATATATATATATATATATATATATATGGATTAGATAATCGTTACATTTATTTTTATATGTTTATATTTGATTTACAACCTGTAGTCGATATTAAATTTGTCAAATTTTCTCAATTACAAAGCCTCACGCCGTTCAATTTTACTTTCCGTTGTCCCATCTCTCTCCCCCACCTCATCTTTTCCTCCCTCTTATTCTAACATTAGCTTGTCTATGGTGTGTGTATGTCACCACGAAATGTATATTTATGCATTAGACATCCGACAACATTCATTTTTCCCTTACTTAAACCCCTTCCACCCATCTCTCCTAAAATTCTCTCTGTTAAGGTTTAATCTCTCCCCCCGCCACTCATACTTACACTCTCTCTAAATTCTGTTTTTATTTCCTGAGTTGTTTTTTCTGTTTTCTTTTTGAATTCGTAGGTCTGATGAATTGGATCGTATTTACGATTCCAATGGAATAAATTATGACCATGGAATATTTAGTGTTTAAGCCTTTTTATTATATCCTTACTCTGTCCTGGACATTGAGTTCTACCTGGATTCTTCCTCTTGGAAATTTTATTCTAAAGATATACATGTATGGGTATTTATATATTTTGCATATGTATGTATATTTACCACTAATATTATATATATATATATATATATATATATATATATATATATATATTATATAGAGAGAGAGAGATAGAGATAGATAGATACAGATACAGAGATATAAACATAGCTAGCTACATAGAGAGATATAGATAGATAGAGAGAGAGAGAGAGAGAGAGAGAGAAAGAGACGAACAGAGAAACATATGAAGAGGCTGAGATAGAGATATATAGATAAATAGATATGAACATAGCTAAATAGATACATAGATAGACATTGATATGAACAGATTGAGAGCGATATGCTGAGGCTGAGATAGATAGACAGATAGATATATAAACATAGATAGATACATACATAAAGAGAGTGAGAGAGAGAAAGAAAGAGATGGACAGTCTGTGATGGATATCAATACTGTTTAAAGTCTCTTCAAATTAAAACTTCAATTAAGTCCGATTTCTCCTCACAGCAACAGAAATGTGCTTCTACACAAGAATGCTGTACATGGACCAAACAGATGAGCAACGACAAAATTCTAGAGAAAAGGGAAACAAAAAGAAAAAAAAAAGAGAGAGTTGAACTTTCTCGGGTATCTAATGAGAAAAGAGGGCTTGGAAAATCTGATACTCACATCATTGATGATTGGTTTTGTTTGTTTTGTTTTACGGTATATTTAACTTAATGGTTTATTTAATGCCGACAAGGATTTTACCGCAGGAAATATATTTTTTTTCAAAAAATGTATTGCTGGTAATATATTTTCCCCAAAATGTAATACTGGCAACTTTTTTACTCCCAAAATATATTGCTGGTAATAATTTGTTTTTTCCAAAATGTATTGCTTGTAGTAAAACCTATTTTTACACTTTCATAGTGCTTTGACCCCAGTTTAGAGGTTAACTATTTGCCCATAGCTGGGACCTTAACAGATGCTACCACCCTAGGTCAGGGTGAACCTGGGAACACCAGCAATTAAGAAGTGGTTCCACACTCCTCAAAACTTCATGATTAGAGGCCTTTCTGTCGGATGTAATTTATCGTCATACCCAGGACGCCTCATTGATGTGGGGGTCTTACCACTCTGCAGAGGTGTAGCCGGTGTATTTCGAAGCCCCAGTCGACAGGGCATAGGATAGATTGAAGGTAAGACAGATAGAGGAAAACACCACGAGCTTGAGCGAATGGATGGCGGAGCAGGGTTTGAAAGCGATGGCAAAAATAAAAAATGCTAATAGGACAGGAAATTGTGGAGTGCCGTGATCGTTAACGTCACGGCACTCAGAAGAATACGGCTCTTTTCTTTGTTCTAACGAGATTTTATTTTATTTTTCAATACTTTGCTTAACTCTTGGAAGGCTCTTTCGCGATTCGGATGCACCGTTCCGCTTGCGGTGTCGCCCTTTTCTGTCCTCTGTTAAAACACTTCCCAGATATTTAAATTTATTGTACTCACTTGATTTTGATTTTCCTCATTTTGTCGTCCGCATCTTGGCCTATTTCTTTTGCCAATAACCATACATTCTGTCTTCTTACAATTGATGGTTAGGATCGTCCTTTTTTTTTCTCGCTTTCGTTTACTACTTTGTGCATGAGTAACCGTTGCTTCCTTTGCGTGTCTGTTATCAACACTGTGTCAGCTTTATATCATATACCGTTAAGATTGTAGCTGTCAACAATAAATCCTGCTAGGATTTCTAATTCTCTCATAATCGCCTCACTGGAAAGCGTGAAGAAGTTCAATGAAAAGACATATCATTCTTTTATACCCTTGTCTATTTTTGTGTATTTTCGCAATTTATTTTATATCCGGATGCAGCGTGGGGTTTGATTTCAATATGAGCTCTGCATTGTTCTAATACCCATATATATATATATATATATATATATATATTGAACAATAAAAAATATTAAAAAATTAAAATCTTCAGACACACTGGGTTGTAGATTAATATTCTTTCGTTTTTTTATTATTATTTCATTTAGATTCCTCGACTAGTTTCGGCCAAAATGGCCATCATCAGGAGAAGAAATATTTCTGCTTGCTGGTAGCAGTAAACTACAGAAATGAATGTCTTGATGGAGAAAATGAACTTTTGTCTGTAGTTTTCATTTGTTTTTTTGTTTTTTTTTTTATCTTTTTAACATGGATCTTTTTAACATTCCTTGTGTTGGTCAAACAGTCTTTATGTAACTATGTATTTGTAAATGAATGGTGAAATGGATTACGTCCGACAGTTATTTTTTGTATTTTCTGTTTATGAATTATTTTTATAGATACAATTTGTTTAAGTAATGCTCCGTTTTTAATTAAAGCGTATTAATTACACTCACATGCCTTAATGTTCGAGAAGTTTCGAAGAAAATATGCGTTCTCAGACAGGAATCAAACTTATATTCCTATACGGAAACCGTCATGTGATCTGACGTGCTATACCATTTAGCTACAGAGAAGCGTCTAGTTAGCAAAGTCCAATATATATATATATATATATATATATATATATATATATATATATATATATATATATATATGGAAATAGAACGAAAAGAAACGCAGAGAGTGAGAGACAGAGACAGAGACAGCGGAGAGAGTCAAAGATGGAGCAAACCATCCGAAAGAAAAATAGAAAAAAAAAAGAAGGAAAAGAACGAAAGAAAGAAGAAATAAACGAAAGAAAGATTCATCTGACATCTTGAGAGCGAATGGCGAGAGAATTAACCACTAATTCGGCTGTCTCCAGATGTGCTCTTGTTGAGAAAGACAATTCTGTTGATGCCCATAATCAGAATTCCATCTTCATAGTTCATTTTTTAGGGGTAGGTAAATGTCACTTGGAACATCTACGCTGCCATTTCTATTTTTCTCTCACGGTAGACCAGATATTCCATTAAGCCAGCGAGAGCCCCCCCCCGCTGTGTGCATATAACGCTACTTCTTTTCTTGCACTAACAGTGACTCTGCCCTTATATAAAATGAAGCCTGAGCGGAATTCCCTATCTTCCGGATGAGAGGCACTTGATACCGCAAAGCTTTTCATTTCTTTTCTATTTTTTCATTCATACATTTATTTCCTTTTTAATACTTATGAATTGCGAGTGGTTGCTTTGAACACTTACATCTCGAATTTATGGCGACGCAGTTTGTTTTCATAAAACACAGGTGACCCCAGGCTTAGATAAAATTATTTATAGTTCATTTGAACTTATTGCTTAGTTCCTTATAGAATAATGTGTTCAAAGAAGATGCTATTTTAGCCCGATATTTCATGTTTATTTCTAACAGTTATTTTGTACCTGTCATAACGTTAAAATTTCCCTTTCTTTTTACCGTGCGATGATAGTCTAAGGCTAGGATCTCTGACTGATGCCAGATGGGTCGGGTTTCGATCCCGGCTTGAAACTACTGGACATCTAGCTACACTGAGTTGTGGATGACTATATATATGTATATATATATATAAAGACAGAAACACTGGTATTTTCATTTATGTTTTCTCTCGATCTCTGACGAAGTTTTAATAAAAGTGAAACACGTTAGATTAATATACATTTCCTATTTATTCTTTATTTTATCGTCTTGTCAGATTCTAAACCTATTTTATCTCCATTTGATCTTTATATCGTATATATATATTTTCTATTCAAGTCGGTAAATGTTATTTAATACTGTTTATTATAAACAGAGCATTTACTTAAATACCTGTATCTATAAAAAAGAACGTTAAACATAAAAATGTCTTTAATAAATAAATTGTCGGACTTTGTCCATTTCTTAATGTATGACGTCATTTGTTTACATTTGATACGCCATGAGCAGTTATGAATGTACGAGATTCATGGAAGATTGAAGTTTATAAGCAGTAAATCCGACCTTGCCAACCGAGCGATCCTTTGTGGCCGAGAGGTTGGGCACGTCAGCGTAAATGATGGTTCCGTATAGGATGCAGGTTCGAATCCTGTCAAAGGACGAATATTTTCTATGAAAATTTCTCGGACATTCAGGCCGGTAAATGTTATTTAATACTGTTTATTATAAACAGAGCATTTACTTAAATACTTTTATCTATAAAAAAGAACGTTAAACATAAAAATGTCTTTAATAAATAAATTGTCGGACTTTGTCCATTTCTTAATATATATATAATGCTTCTGTGCCAAGAACTATCTACCTAGGTTTCACCTAAATGGATCTTCAGGGTAAGCCAGCTTACCATGCAGATCCATTTAGGTGAAACCTAGGTAGGTAGTTCCTGGCTCACTAGGAATTTTTATACTCTGCTCTACTTAGCGTATTGAGCACTTTACTTTTTTCCTTATTTACTCGATTGTTTTTTTTTCTTTGGACTAGAAATTACGGCCTACACGGATGCTTTTAGTCCTTTCTTTTTTTCCAATTTTTTTTCCCAGATACCTATTTTTTTGATATATTTTTATTTGCAAATTATGTTATCCATTTAAAAAGCCAACGCTCAATAATATTAACTACGGCCACGGCCACAATGTGCTGCGTTCGGAAAATAAAACATCTCGATAACACTAATAACACACACACAACACCCACACTCAATTAAACTGGGAAAATAAAATCATCCTTGAAATTGGCTAAAAGTATAGACGAAAGCCCCCGGAATTATAAAACATTTGAACAGTTTATACACACTCTTTGTCCCAAAAAGAAAACATTTCTTCGAGCACAAGAAAAATGAAATAAACAGCTTAATCATTGTTAAGGAGTACACCCCTTTTTCATACAAGTGGACTCGACCAGTGTGTTCTTGTACTCCTGCCGATGAATACCCGAGAGAGATACACTGATACAGTGATACGGTGAGAGAGGGAGGTAACCGCTTTGTAGGAGTCACAGTTGCGAGCATGTAGACTCAGAAGGAAGTCATACTTCGATACTGAATTTCCCAGGCTGTATATTGCTACTAACCGCATTTCTGGATCTACTAACCTTATTACCAATTATTATACATTTATTTGCTATATTTCACTCCTGCGTTTGTCATTCATTTGAGACCGGATTTCATCCCGAATCCACAAGAATCATAGTACATTGTCTGTCGTTTTAATGAAGGATTGCCGCTTAAATACACCATATATATATATATATATATATATATATATATATATATATATATATATATATATTGAACAATAAAATATATAAAAAATGAAAATCTTCAGACACACTGGGTTGTAGATTAATATTCCTTCGTTTTTTTTATTTTATTTTTATTATTAACACCTCCTTAAGTATGCCTGTCTTGTGTGGGTGAGAAATGTGGGTAGGTTTTGATTTGTAGTGTTATATATTAGTACTATCTATATTGTTAAATTGATGGTTTAGCCCAGCAGGATAGTGTTTTTTTAAACGTTGTATTCACTTATTT